GTTGTTGTTGTAGTAGTAGTAGTAATTGCAGTAAATTAGTGAGTTTTAAGCTCTGCTGAGCCTTTAATTCCAGTAAATAGCACATTTTGGGCTCTCAACTCCCATCGTAGATCCCATTTTTTTCAATACTGGTCAAGGGACGAAATTTTTTCCCGTGAATGTAGGGAGATTTCTTTATGACTGCACAACCAGGATTTCCGGAAAAAGCCTTTGAGTATGGGGATATTTATTATTACGGAGATTGGATTAAATAGGATCTTCAAAAAGGGTTCTGAGCAAGGCTGGCGCCGACCTGCAGAAGGTGAACCTGAACTATCGTACCCCGGCCCATATGGCCGCATATAATGGCAAGGTGGACACGCTGCGCCTCCTCATCGAGGTCGGGGGGGGGGGTCGCGCTTGAAGCCCTTCCTTCACGGCTGCCATGCTCGTATCCTCATGCTCGTGTGGCGCCGTGCCTGCTTCGCAGGCTGGTGTCGACCTCAATGTCAAAGATAGGAGCGGAGACACACCGGCCGACGACGCATCATTGCACCATCATGAAGAGGCACTGAAGCTGATCCTGGAGGTACGGCGAAGAGGAGTGTTTACATGCTTAAACGACCCATCTCAATTCACGAGAAGTGCCGCCCCTGCCAGGCTGGGGGCAAACGAAGCAAGCAGTGAGGCCGCCCTGGCGATTGCGGCAGCTTGCAGAAGCCGGAGTGTTTGGGGTCTGCTTTAGGGTAGGGGTTAGAGTTTAGGGTTTAGGTTTCTGAAGTTTAGGGCTGTTAGGGTGCTTAGGGTTTGAGGGCCCGGAGCTCAAATCTGCTAAGGCTCAACTCGTTCAGGGTTTAGGGGTTTGGGGTTTAGGGTTTAGTTAGGGTGTAAGGTTCAGGGTTGAAGGTTTTGGTCGAGTTTAAGGTTCGATGAGTGCTTTGTTGCCAGGCTGTGATCATGTTCGTGATCGTTCTCAGCACTTTGGCGTGGGTGATTATGATCCTCACTATCATCTCGCTGCGGAGCACGAGCGTAGGAGCTGCCCTGGCCTTGACATTGTTTGCGTTGCCCTTGAGCCTTGCAGAGCCTGACATGTCTGACATGAACCGAGAAAACCCTGTTATCCGAGTGACCAAATTCTAGCATGGCTCGTGGCTAGGTTCCTGGGAGTTTAGATCTGGGACGTAGGGTTTTGTTGTTTGGAGTTGCGCGAGTTTTGTGATTAAAGTAGCTATAAGGCTAGATCACAGCAAGCGATGTTGCGCCGGGCATAGAAATCACGACGGTTCAAGAAACTGAACAGTACTACAGAGGTCCACTAACTTTCCTTGTTATTCCTTTAGGGTTTCTTACACTACAGCTATGCATGCCAAAAGATGTCCCAAACCCGAGTACAACTATCAAGATCTGTATTTTCATCGGCTTGTTGAAATGCTGCAGACAGACAAGAGCTTCCCTTCCACTTCCTTGCACTTGTCCCATCTAGAAACAGTAATCCTTGTAGAAACCCTTACAGCAGCCTTTGTAGAGAAACCTGTAGAAGCACAGGCACAGTGTTACGTCTTGTCCATTGGGTTAGATCGGCTCCTGTTCCTAGCTCATTGTCTGCTTCTTCAGGGGTTTTAAGGCTTTTAGGGCTTAGGGTTTATGCATTTTAGGGTTTAGGGTTTTAGGGTTCAGTGGTTTTAGGGGCCTAGGTCTGAATTTGAGACGTTTCCGAGACCTCTCCGAGGTCGCATGGCTGCCGTGAGGAAGCTTCGGCATCCGTAGGCCTAGGCCCTACACCCTAGAAGCTCTAAACCGGCTCATAGCTGATGCTTGAGATGGTAGGGGGTTTAGGCGTTTTTTGGGTTTAGGCGTTTTTGGGGTTTGGGGAATTCGGGGACTCCTATGCTGCGCTGCTTGAGGTTGGAGATCCTTTGCGATTCGGAATGTGAGGATTTGGAGCATGGTCCCGAAACCCCATAGGTCCTAAGCATCCCTAAGCCCTAAACCGAAACCCTAAACTCAGGGTTCCGGAGATTTGAGACTTCGGGCTCTTTTCCTTGGGAGTCCGCGCACAGAATGAAACACTTCGTACTTTGCATGTCGGCTACGGCGCCCTTGCTTTGCCCCTGCTTCCTCGGACAAGAGGCTGCCGCTGGCCACCGCTCCAAGCGCCGAGACCCGAGGATTCACCCCCGCAGCTCGAAAAAGTGTACTGCATACGGGCCTTCATAAATTAGAACATAGGATAGTTTTTTGGGGGCTGGTTCCATACTACTATCTTTCTAATGTTATAGTATAATATGTACCCCAAACCTGCTCCACTTGAAAGCCTCAGACGGAGGTCGACGTTTGGGGGTTGGCCCCAAAGCCCCAAAGAACGAGACCCCAGACTCTAAGCAGGGTGCCAGCGGTTTGGAACCTTCTTTGCTTGTTGGTGAAGTCCTCAGCTCTGTGACCACAAGGTTTCCCCGCCAGGAGGGCCGATTCGTCCTTGAAAGCGGCAGGATGTGCTTATCTTCAGCATTCCGGGAATTGTGACTCGCCTATCTGTTGCTTCCCCAAAAGCTTTGGGCTCGAATTGAAATGTTGTGTAAGTTTGTCAACTCCAAGCTTTTGCTTCGCGATGCTGGCCGTGGGCTGAGTTTTCGCGGGATTCGCGGGTACTTCCCTGGACATTAGTCCTCCTTTAGCTCCTTCTGAGACCCTTCCTTGCGTTGAACCTACGCCTGGAAAGCTTTGAGTGTCTGTCGAAAGTACAATGAGATTAAGGGTGTCCAGCATTTTAGTGAGATTTGTAACTTGCCAGGGGCTTGGGCTGAAACCTCTACAGCGATTCTAGGGTCGCGGACCGAACAACACAAATCGACCCAGGAACCCCCCTGCAAACAAATGGCGCAATCAGCGAATCTATGGAAGCTCCGTCTTAGTTAACTTAAGTCTGAGCGTCCCAATCCCAATGGCCCTGCCGCCTGAAATCGCAACACCTCCATCATGGGAGCCGTTAGCCCATGCGTGCGACGGATTTATTCAAAATCTGATGTAAGGCGACTCAGCTGGTCGTGCTGGCCACGATTGCCATGGTGGATGGCACGCGGGCTGGGCTCTCGGTACTGGGTTGCTGGCAGCAAGCCGGCGGGATGGGATTTCTGCTTTGAAAGTTAAGCTGTTCCGTCCTCAAGCCAACACGCAACCTTCCTGAACCCGAGGCTCCAAAGCCTTTCAAACCCCAGAGCCCAGCTTCAAGTCCACCTTCCTCAGTCCTCGCTTCTCGCCAGGTGTCCATTCAGGGGAACCTGGCCGCGGCTAAGGAGCAGGACTGTGCTTTGTGTTTTTCCAGTGCGTGCAGCAGCTGCAGCTCGCCGAGTTGATTTCGATACAGCGCGGTTCCCAGGAGGAGCAGCTTGCCGAGAAGGAGGAGCTCTTGAAGACCTTGAGTCATGTGGAGCATTCTGAGTTTGCGCGTGGAGAAGCTCTGTAAGGTCATGGGCGCTGAAATCCCGCATGTCTGAGGACACAGTTGGAAATGATTCTAGCCCTAAAACCCGACGAACTCTGGTACCCTGCATCAAAAGCAGTGACTGCCCTTTTCGGGAAGTTTCCAGGACACAAGCTTAGGTGATGCGGCGGACCCAAGTCGAAATAATGAGGTCCGCCGCAAGAGTAGATCCATCACGCACCTACATGAAATCAACTGCCCCTCCCCTCTGCCAGCCGTTCTTTCTTTCATCTCCCGCTGCCGCTTGGTACGTTAGGTCTGGAACCCAAAGCACCATGAGCAGGACTTGGAGGCGGAGGCGAGGGGGCAGCCTCCAGACATTTCTTTGGAATTGGCCGCTAAGACTGGCGACGTGGCGGCCCTCGCGCAGCACGGTCAGGCCCAGCTTTGTGAAGGAGGCAAGTGGTGATTTCTTCCGGGCTCTCTTTGGAAGTTCGTCGCTAATCATAAGTCCCCACTACATGTAATAGGAGAGGTCAGGCAAAGCCCTGCCGAGGCTGGGTCCGACCTGGATGAGAAGTTGGACTCTAGCGGATGGACAGCGGCGCACTATGCCGCGCGTTACGGCCACGTGGCGGCGCTGAAGGTCCTCCGCGAGGCCTCTGCTTCCAGGTCCAACGCCTCCCCTCCGTAGTTCCCCCCGTGGCAGGCAGGTGCCAACTTGAGTGCGACGAGCTCTTCCCAGAATGGCTCCAGAACGCCGGCCTACCTGGCAGCCAGAGCGGGGCAGGCAAAGGCGCTGGAGGCGCTGGCCGAGGCCAGGGCTGCTTTGCAGAGTCTTCCCTAGAAGCAGATGGGGTTAGGACAAGACTCACCAAGAGATGGGTGGGAGAGGGGCTTCTCTCGATGTGGCAGCAAGAACTCTCAAAGAGACTATAGCTATATCTATATCTATATCTATATCTATATCTATATCTATATCTATATCTATATCTATATATACATGTATGTAATGTATGTTATATACATATATATATATGTAGTATACATATATATATATATATACACTCTATATCGCGGTTTCCACTGAGTGAGCGAGGCAAGAGCAGATCTTCAGACGCCGGGCGACGATGGACTGACCCCGGCGCACGCGGCCGCGAAACACTGCAAGGTAGACGCGCTGCGGATCCTCATTCAGGCCGGGGTTTAGGGTTTAGGGTATTAGGGCTTAGAGTTGAGGGCTCTGGGATTTTGGTTTTAGGCTTTCAGGGTAACCCATGGCAACCTTAAACCATCCTAAACCCGTCCTGATTGGGTTGCCCTTTTTTTGCCTATAGCAAGAATCACAATAGCAATTGTAGTAGGACTTGTCATCTCCCATTCCTACCCGTTCCTTGACGGCTGGGCTCTCCTCCTTCTGCTTCTTGCGGCGCCAGACCAGAAGCCTCAGGCCGGCGTCAACATCAATGACACAGACTTCTACGGAGAAACGCCATTCGACGACGCTGCACGAGCGGACTGTTACGAGGCTCTGCAGCT